TTTCATCCCTTCCTGATATAAGAGGCATGTATTTCTACATCCATCTGGGCACAAACCATACCCTGAACCTCTTACAGGGAAAATGCCTCTCTATCACAGGGGGACTGCCCTTCTAAAGACAAAGATTTGATGTGCTCCTTAGAAGGGGCCCGGTATCCCAGCACCACAAAGCTCCCCTCACCTGGCTGACCTTTCCCTTCTGTTCTTCTGCATATTGGCCTAAAAATGGGCTGGGACTCTTAGCCTTCTGTACTTAGATGTCTAGAGACTGTCTTATGTTTACGGAAGTGAAGAAAGGAAAGGGGCCATTTGTAAAGAGGCCGGTGAGGTTAGGAGGCGATAGAAGATTTCCCACGGGAGGATGGATGGTGCCTCTCTCCTGTGTGCCCAGTGTCTTCTCAGATGTAACAGGAGCTAATTTTAAGGAAAAAAAAATAGTAAGTTATGGGTGTCTCTCCATACTTCACATTTTAAATCTGTATTATTTCAGTGTTAAGATAAATACTTAGATTTGAAATTGATCCAAACAACTCCTTTGAACGCATAAAAAATGTGCATGGTTCTGAGACTTACAGAAAACCTTGCCACTGGGGTTACAGCAAACATATCAAGGCCATGTTAAACACCACCACCATCAACAACAAACCTGAACCCCAAAACCTGGTGATAAAGCTTGTCAACCTCAGGGCTGTGGAGTGACACCATTAAAGAGGCAAGGCCTAGGATTAAACTCTTCGCTATTGAGCAAAATAGGAACTTACTGGTTAACATCGTGCCGCAGTGTACTGTTTGAAGAAGTGTTTACATTTCATAATTTCATCTGACAATGTGTGATAAATTGTGCCTTTGAGAAACTGTGATTTCTTTCAGAACACTTTGAAGGAGAATTTAAACATTCCTCTCTGTAATTATGATTATCCCTAAGACAACTGGGCTCTTTTGTTGGGTGGCGGGGGGATCTACGTCTAAGCTAAGGAGACCCACCAACCTTTCTAGATGAGCAAGGCAATCAGAATAATTTTTAGGGATCGATGGACAGATTCCCCATGTAAAAAAAAAAAAATAGAATTTCCCTGGAGGTTTGTCTAGACAAGAAACTGAAGAGGAAGGAAGGATGGGAATAGGACAGAGGTAGCACCAATAACAAAGAAGGTCCACTGGGAAGCTAAACCTTCCTGCTGCTGAGTAATCATTGAGAGTGGCTGTGGGAGGGAGAGAAAGCCACACTGGTCCTGGATGCTGGTAATCTAGACACAGCTGTTCTCAGGGGAAAAGTGGCAGGAACTTGACAGCCCCAGTCATTTAACCCTCATTGACAATATACATGTGAAGGTCTGCTTAGGGAGCACTTTTCACTGGCATCTGGGGAGAGATGATTTGCCTGATGGGCCTCTTATCCATCTCTGATGCCATCTATATCACACCAGCTAATGATGACATATAACAGTGAGTGTAACCGGGAACCCTGGTTAATATAATGTTTCAGATGTACGATAATAAGGAAAAGATGCTTTCTTTTGCATAACAAAAGCTTCCCTTTCACATGGACGAGGGATATATGCTTTAACTTTGATGCCCCTCAACTTTATGTCCTCGATCTGTTACGCACATGTGCCTGGTGGAGACCGGAAATAAACAGAGGGAATTCTGTGTATTGTGCTAGCAGAGGACCTGCCACTGCTTTGAGATTTAACCATTTTAGAGAGTGGTCTCTTCATCAGCGACAGAAGGCTTTCAGCCACCAACGTTGCCATGAGGACTTTGGGATTATTCAGAGTTGCAGCCTGATCATGAGTGGAGGCAGCTAACCTCCTCCTCTCTATAATTACCATGTGTCAGGAGGCACGTGCATCTTACCTGATGGAGAACTGCTGTTCCTTATCTTGGGATTCTTACTCCTTTTGTGCAGCTCTGACGATCTCCACTTTTCTCCTGCCTAGCAAGCACATCAGGCAAGAAAGAACAAATGGCCATGGGGCCTTGGGTACCCGGCAGGACCTTCTCTTCCAAGTATCCCCAGACATCTTCTCATTATTTTCTCTCCCTACCGTGCCAGCCATCATTTCCCTTGACAGAAAAGGCCTCACATCTCTTTTTCAAGGAAAGAGGTATTTTCATACAACGAAGCCTCTGATCTTGGGAATCATTCTGTCTAATTCAGCAGGTTCACCTTCGAAGTTGGCTTCACTGCGGCTTCCCGCAGCCACTAAACTATAAAGCAACATGAATTCACATAGGATAGGGGGTACAGCCCCAGGGGCCAGAGGTATCTGGCTCCTTCCCAACAGCTCAAAGCTATTTTTCTTAGTTTATACCCCTGGCTCTGCACACACCTCACCTTTATCGGTAGGTTATAAAAATGTTCTCCCAGGCTAATGCTGAAATGATGTTATTATCGTTCTCACGTGACCCACCCAAATGCTGCTCACAGCAGGGAAACCATTCCCAGCCAGAGGTAAGAAGGCAGGTAGCTTCAAATTTGCACCTGCAGCCTTGGGGTGTGGTGAATGCTGGAGGACTCTTCTTGTCTCTGTCGTAGGATCCTTTCTGAAACTCTATTTCAAAATTTCAAATATCGTGTGATAGGACCATGTGTGGAGCCCACAACTGACTCAGTTTCCCAGTTTGAATCTGAAGTCTGTTCTGAGTCAATAGAAGTCAAGCTTGCTTGCTCCAGGGATGTGAGAAAGTCCTGATTGGCCCAAAGGAAGGAACACACTATCTAGCTAGATGCAGACTGCTGTTGCCAGCCAGAGGTACGTCGAGATAGAAAATGAAACTGCCTGCTCCTTGACGCAAGGCAGGATAGATAGTGGTTGAATGCCTGTGCTGTGCATTGTTCTACCTCTGTCCTTCAAGACTGTATATAAGCTGGCTGTGAAATAAACTCGGGGCTGTCCGGCATTGACCGGCAGACCTCTTGACTCTTTTCTGTCTTCTTCATTGTCTCTTCAATCCGCAAGCCTCTACCCAGCTACCCAGCTGACTCTCAGCAGGCTCCTACAACTACTCTCATTCTACTAATGAAGTGAGTCACAGGCCCCTACAAAGCTTTAGGGTGGGGACTTCAGAAAGGCTAACAATGTGAAATTTCTGAGTTGGAACTTGGGTTTAACCTCCAGCAAAGAAAGGAAGGCTGCAGATTGAGTTTACTCTCAAGGCTGGTAATTCACCCAGTCACACCCATATCATTCAACCTCCATAAAACATTGGGCCTGAAGCTCAATGGAGCCTCTCTGACTGGTAAAGATTTAATATACCTGAGGTATATCCTTGTATCTTATCACCTTGTGGGCATTGTGCATCTAAAACTAAAGTGATTAACTATATCATTTTGTTTGGTTTTGTTGGTTATTCTAGCAAAGTATCAAACCTAATGGGTGTTGTGGGGACTTCCTGCCTGATAGCTGAATCATCAGAGGCATGGCCTGGAGACTCCACCTGCAGCTGGCATCCAAAGTGAAGGAAATCTTATGGATATGGACCCGATCTTGTAGAGTTAGCACCAACTCTAGGTAGCAAGTGATGGAATGATATTTCAGTGCCCACAGTTTTAGAGGAAATAGGATAACTGTTACTATGCTTAATGTTCTGATTTGCACTGGTTCCTTAAAATACTAGAAAAGGCTCCTAGACCTTTTTGGTGGACATTATAACTTGAAGCAGTATGGACTGTGTCCTTAATGGACAGGTTAGTCAAGTAACGTAGAAGATGGCACTCAAATCATGGCCCCAGACTGCACTGTAGGAAACTGTCCGTTATCACTTCCTAGTGAGATGTGTGGACATATAAGGAATAAGCACTTAGAAGTTTTGACAGTAATTGGCATGGGCATGACATTCTGGTACAGAAGGAAACACAAAGGTATAGCAGCGACTAGCAATTTGGGTAACAGTGATCCATTGCCACAGATAGACAACAAGCTAAATTTAGAAAATACAACTTTCCTTGGTATGAGCAGATAGTTCCAAAGTTTAGAGAGCCCTAGAATCAAGATAGGTTTGGACACAACATTGCTTGCTATAACCTGTTTTTGAGCACGTTAGTTTACTTCTCTGGACCTGTTTTTTTGTTTGTTTGTTTTTTGTTTTGTTTTGTTTTGTTTTGTTTTGTTTTAATTTTTTTAAAAATATCTTTTATGTATGTAAGTGCTCCATCTGCATGTGTGCTTTTATGCCAGAAGAGGGCATCAGATCCCACTATAGACAGTTGTGAGCCACCCTGTGGTTGCTGGAAATTGAACTCAGGACCTCTGGAAGAGGAACCAGTGCTCTTAACTGCTAAGCCATGTCTCCAGCCCTCTGTTTCTAATTCTTGGAAATGGATATAATAGTGCTTTCTGTCTCATTCAAAACTGAACATACCTAAGGAGATAATTCAGGACAAGTGCTAAGCGCAGGGCTTGGAACCCAGCCAGATAACTGCTGCTATTTCTCCCAGGTTACCTTTGTGTCTCTGGTGGTTGCAGAAGGGCAAGACAATCCTTGAAGGCCCATGCGTCAGCAGGTACCATGCACAGTGTTTACCTGCAGCTACAGTCACCCCCATTGATTTATTCAGAACCACCGGTGGTGGACTTCTGGTATGTTCCAGGTAGATCATGAGGAATTTAGAAATTCCCAGCATTGATGCCTCCAATAATATATATGAGTTGAGACGCTGATGAGGTGCTAGCAGATAAAAGCAGGCAAATTCTTCAACTTTGCCTCACCAAACCAGAATTCTATGTTGGATGTATAGGGAGAGTGCAGCCATAGGTTCCCCACAAGAGTGTTCGGGCTAGAACAGCAAACATGTCCAAAGGCCCTTGGGAAAGATTTTTCTCTCCCAAGACTGCTGAGATGCGGTGACCTTGCAAAGGTCAAGAGTGAAGGGTGCAGAGAAGTGAATTCAGCAGGGCTGACTTCCGATGTCCCTTTCAGTCTATTTCTTCACCAATGCTGCCCTAGCAGTGTCTGAACAGGTTTCCCACGCTAACTGTGGCTCCTGTCGTTTTCAGGTTCTACCCGCCTCCTCGCAGTGCTTTAAACCCCAAGGTGAAGTGCTGGCCCCAGGGGTCTGCAATGAAACCGCACTTGAAGCAATGGCGACAACGAATACTCTTTGGAATATTTGTTTGGGGGCTCCTCTTTTTGGCGATTTTCATCTACTTCACCAACAGCAACCCTGCTGCGCCTGTGCCCAGCTCCTTCTCCTTCCTGGAGAACCGTGGCCTCCTGCCTGTGCAGGGCAAGCAGCGGGCCATCATGGGCGCTTTGCAGGAGCCCTCCTTGCCCAGGAGTTTGGAAGCAAGCAAAGCGCTGCTGGGCAGCCACCCTGCCAGCCCCTTCCACAGCGGGCCTGGGGACCCACAGAAATGGGACCAGTCGCAAGAGGGCTTTGACAATGGGGAAGAGTTTTTTTCATCCCAGGTTGGGAGGAAATCGCAAAGTGCTTTCTACCCGGAGGAAGACGGCTACTTTTTTGCTGCTGGTCAGCCAGGGTGGCACCGCCATACGCAGGACACCCTGGGGCTGCCCTCCCCGGGGGAACCATCGCGGCGGGCCGGACCCGCCCAGCACAAGCGGGAAAAGTTTCACCGTGCAAGACGGAGCCGCGTGCCTGAGGAGGTCTACGACGGCGACATGCTGTCGGCCTCCATGTCCAGAGCCTTCCTGTACCGGCTTTGGAAAGGGACCGTGTCCTCCAAGATGCTGAACCCGCGTCTGCAGAAGGCCATGCGCTACTACATGTCCTTCAATAAGCACGGAGTGCGCTTCCGCGGGCGGCGCGAAGCCAGGCGATCCGGGCCAGAGCTGTTGTGCGAGCTGCGAAGGCGCGTGCGCGTGCGCACGCTGGACGGCAAAGAGCCACCCTTCTCAGCGCTGGGCTGGCGGCCGCTGGTACCCGGGGTGCCTCTGAGCCAGCTCCACCCGCGCGGCCTACGCAGCTGTGCAGTGGTCATGTCCGCTGGTGCCATCCTGAACTCCTCCTTGGGGGAGGAAATCGGTAGGTTCCCGCGGGGCTGTGGCTCTTCTCTGAGCTCTTTGCACTTCTGGTTCCAAGTTGGGGCAGTGCCCAGGATGCTGTACAAGCTTCATCCCTCATAGAAACCACGGTCTGCGTGAGCACATGGCAACAGGGGGCGGGGCAACGGGTGGGAATACGGGAGAGGAGGAAGTCAAGGAGGTCGTCCTTGTGGGTGCCACCCTTAAGGTGAATGGTAATAATGGTACTGAACTCTCAAGGACTAAAGCCAAGTCTCGGGGCTCTGAGGAGAGCTAGACGACTACTGAAAACAATTCCCAGGCAGATATAAGCTCTAGTCCTGGACTGTCCTGTCAGCCCAACCTCTGGGTTACAGTCTGTGTTCACAATGGGGTCCTTCTCCGTGATGGTGAGCAACATGACCGTACTCTGACTGCCATCTACTTTGATATGCTGTCCTCAAAACCCTGTGTCTTTGCAGAGCACGGGTTCCTTACTGTCTCTGTGGGTCAGTAGCACATGGAGAGGGAGGGAGAGATTGAAAGGATTTGTCTGAGCTTGCAAGTCTGAAGTTCGTAGGACACGCGAGCAGGTGGGGGACATCAGGCGGAGCTTTGATGGTACATTCTTTTTTTTTTTTTTTAAGTCCTTTAAAGGTTTTTTTTATTATTATTTTATGTGTATGAGCACCTTACCTGAGTATTTGTAAGTATGTGATGTATATGCCTGGAGTCAGTGGGGGCCAGAAGAGGACCTTAGATCTCTGGGACCTGAGTTTAGGGAAGGTTGTGAGCAGCCATGTAGGTGCTGGGAACCGAACACTGGTCCTCTGTTTTTAACGGCTGAGCCATCTTTTCAACCCTTCTATGCTGCATTGAGGCAAAGCCTTTGGGGATACCTCTGTGCATGATCTTAAGACCTTCAACTGATTGGGTGAAGCCCAGTACAATGTGGAGAGTAATGTGCTTTCTAAACAAACAAAAAAAGAAAGCTTCACAGCGACAACCAGGCCACATAACATGACCAGGTTGGCACACAATGTCAACTGCCACAGCTCTCTGATGCCTCAGAGTAGAATATCAGGACTACAGGACTAGAATCTCTTGGTTTGAAGGGAATGGAGTATGGTTGCAGTAAGTATATTTGCCACCCAGAGTCTAGATCCTGCTGTAGGTGGGCTGACATGGGCTCACCAACAGAATACTCAGTGCTTGGTGGATAGCATTCATTCCCCCAAGCCTTCTTTGCCAGAGAAAGTATCTGCTGTTTTGCCTTGCCCTGGCTCACGCAGCTCTTCTCTCCCTGGCAATTTTAGAGCCTTTCTTCTGGGACCCCTCTGATCCGGTTGATTCTATTGCTGTCTCCCTAAGCAAGCAGTTTGGCCCTTCACTTATTTAATTCACAAGCGTGTATTAATCCCCCAACCGGTTCTTTCCTGGGCACAGGCTACACATGTGGCTCAAACATACCTTCAGCCTCAAGTCTGAAGGCCAATGATCAACCACCACAGTTACAGTTTCACTGCAGATGGTGGCAGGTCCTAAGTCACCAGTGTGGAAATGACATTCAGAGGGGCATTGCTTCTTTGTTACAGAGAAGTAACTCACTGTTTCCTGTATTCTTCTAGACAGATCCTTTAGTTCTGTGTCCTTGAAGAGTGATGGTGTCCTGCAGCCAACTTGAATGGCACACACCTCAGAAACCCCCTCACCTCAAGCTGTTTCTTGGGAATGAGACTGAATGGGATTTTTTTGTTTTTTAAGTTAAAAACCCAGGGCAACAAATGTGGCCTTGTTGTGTGAGGTCCCTGTGTCTCCATGCTGACATTACATCAGGCTCATAATAACACTATCCATGCCTCACATAAGCTTGTAGCAAAACCCAGAGCAGAGCAGCCTGCAATTTATTAAGAAAGAACAGTGGTTTAGAAGTCCCCAGGGTGAAATAACACCACAGCTCTTTCTCATTTCCAAGGACCAATATTAATAATGCAGAAGAGGAATTTAAGTATTATGCTTTGAAGCAGGCAATAACTTATTTCTGGTTTTGTTTAGTTTTAAACACCTCTGCATCGTAAATATATAGTATTTGAATGTCTCTCGCATACCAAAGAGAAATCTCTTGTCCTTTTTTTTTTCTTGCATAAAGGATCATGATTAGAGCCTTTAAAACTCTATTCAAAATTTGGAAGAGGATGTGAAAGTCCCTTAGCCATGTTTCTGAGAAACATGAAAGGACACTGTTACATATTGGTTAGTGCCCAGTATCCAAATTTAATTTCCAGCATGTGGTTCCATGATTAGAATTGCAAAGTCACAAACAAACTTAGGGAATGGAATTGGGTGGGTTATTTGTTACTTTGGCTGGTTGGTTGGTTCTGTCTTGTTTTGTCTAGGTTTAGATTTTATACCTGGTATTTTTAAGTCTTATTATTGCTCAGATTGCATAGACCAAAAACTCTTTACCTTTATAAGCTGGTGTGGCAGGACCAATGCAGAACATGCCAAGGCTGGCATCTGTAGCTAGAGTTTTCCTGCCTTGCCCACAGTCAGGACAAATCTCTGTCACCCGCCAGTCCCACAGCCGCTTAGACCCAACCAAGTAAACACAGAGACTTATATTGCTTACAAACTGCATGGCCATGACAGACTTCTTGCTAACTGTTCTTATAGCTTAAATTAATCCATTCCCATAAATCTATACCTTGCCACGTGGCTTGTGGCTTACCGGCATCTTCACATGCTGCTTGTCATGGTGGTGGCTGGCAGTGACTCTTTCCGCCTTCCTGTTCTTTCTTTTCTCCTCTCTGTTAGTCCCGCCTATACTTCCTGCCTAGCCACTGGCCAATCAGTGTTTTATTTATTGGCCAATCAGAGTAATTTGACATGCAGACCATCCCACAGCAGGCATATCTTCTCCCTGCTCATCTGAGGCTGTCCTTGCAAACCCACCTGGTCATTAACGACTCTCAGAGCAAAAACAATCTCATGTAGCAGATTTCTTCATGTACCTTGGAATGTTAGAGCACAGCGCAACTAACCTCAAGTTGCCCTGTCTGGAATGGCTAACTAAAGATCAAAGGAGTTGCCAAAAGTTGACATGGCAAATGTCATGAAAAATTGAAAGCATGCCAAAAGCAGTCCTATATCATAGCCCACCCTTAGCTCTGCCAGGAAGGCTCTCTGGCTAAGGTCTTCTGTTCCTTTGTGTTTCTAGAAGGAGGCCCAGTTAAGTCTGTTTGCTGCTTGGCTACCTTTTGGCTCCCCTAGGTATCCCCTAGGTATTTAGTGGGCATTGAGTCCCTCTCCCAAGGCCCCATTCTGTTAGACTAAGTCCTATGGAAAGAACAGTTGTTCGGGATTATAAAGGTATAGTGATTATAAATGCCTTTACTTTGAATGTGTAACCTCAGCTGCTTTGGAAACATGGAACATCCCTTCCTGGACTTGTGAGACAGTCTCTTGTCATCCATACAACAGATGACAACAGCTTGCTGGTCATTCCTGGCAGTTCTGTGGAAGTACACCACAGAAAATAAAAGTCCACTGTGGGGAGACATCACAGTCTTGATGTGGAAGATCAGGGTCTGTATTACTGAACAATGGAATACTGTCATGTAGGTGGGAAATGGGAGGTATGTTTGGGACAGAACCCACAGTAATTTCAAAAGCCTGTCTTGGATTTGGCAAGTTCTTTAACCTTACATTTAAGAAGCCAAGAGAGCAGTTCATAGAGTCCCTAAACCATCATTAGATGTTGGCTGATCACCACCTCTCCATCAGATCCTGTGCTAAGCACAAAGGTGAATAAGTGACAGACATAGATTTTAAATTCCATACAGTCCTAGGGAGAATCCAGACCATGAACAGACAATTCCAGTATCCTGTGAATGGGAGAAAGGCAGAGAAATGTGTAGACAAGCAGGATAGAAACAATGGCAGAACCCTAACCCACTCAGAGGGCTTCTTATTGGTTAGCAGAGAGGAGGTCAGGAAATGACTGGTCCAGGCCAAGGGTCCAGCACAGGCTATGAGAAGAGCAAAGCTTCAGTGAGTACAGGGGCCAGGAGTAGGCACGAAAGAAGTGGGCTATGGTGGGAGAGGGCAGCACATGGGTACTCTGGTGCTTACACAGGCCAAACTCCATTCACCGATTGCAGTAATATTGCCAGCTGAGAGTGTTTACTGTAGACAAAGCCCTATTCTGTGCCTTTTAACTGCTGTAAAATCAACATCCCTGAGTGGTACGTATATTTCCATTTCTAGATAGGACACAGGCATCTAGAATCCACTGGGCAGACACGTGGATTGAAGTTGCAGACTGGGTCTCTAGGGATTGAGGGCAACGATATCTGAGGCAAGGAAGCCTAAGTGTGAATGTTTTATTTTAAAGACATCACACATGAGCCTGGGTTTGGGGGCATGAGAGAATTCAAGTAGAATGGGCAGGTCAGAGAGGAGAGGGACGAGGCAGTGGGAACTGATAGAGATAATTCATGGTTTTGTCCTTACCCTGCAGGCCATTGGCTGGTGTCTGAAGGCTGCAGCTGTGACTGTTTAGTTTTTATTTTCTGATCAGCACAAGTCAGGAGGAGGAAGAGGGGAGGATGCTGGGCCTGAGTCAGGGCTAGATGGTGACTTGGTGCCAGGACCTCTAGCGTGCCTGGCTGCTTTTTGATGGGCTCTGTAGTAATGTCAGGACAGCTCTGCTCTGGCCCAGATATGCCTTCTCTAGAAGTGAAGCTTGACTTCATTCACTGTGTGCTTACTGTCTGATCTGCTCCCTTCCTCCGTGTGAATGAATGGCGTAGCTTCTGAAGATAGATGCATTACCATGCAGTCAGGGGTGTATTTACCAAGTGCGTATGGGTGCGGCAGTTGATGGTTTGAGCTTGTTGTCCCCTGGTCCTGTTCATTAACTGCTTCCATCAGGTTCAGCAGACTGTCACTCTGCCTCCTTTGCACAAGTGACCTTGTGACTCTTGAGACCAACACACTCTTTCCAGGGACACTCGTGGTCTTCTGACATTGTAAAATACCAAGCACTAGTAATCCACCTAGGGTAATAAGCAATTAAATGAATGCCGGGGGATTTACAAGGGTGATTGGATTAAGTTGGAATTACAACCAATTTACTTGGAAGAGATCCATTGCTTAGGACTGGGGTTCTGTTCATCAGATCACAACACACAGACTGTGCCACAGGGATGGGCAGCATGGCTTCCTAGGAGAGCTATGGTTGGGGACTTGGTGTCACATTTGGTGACAGAATCCTTCTGAGCTCTAGTACAGCAACAGCTTGGTGTCTCCCTCTTCTCTCTTGAGTTCTTTTTTTTTTTTTTTTTTTCGAGGCAGGGTTTCTCTGTGTAGCTTTGTGCCTTTCCTGGAACTCACTTGGTACTCTCTTGAGTTCTTGATGGGTGGACCTGTGTGACCACTTCACATGTGTGATTCACTTACGGTTTCCAGGACTTTCAGGGCTCTAGAAGGTAAACTCTGTTTTTGGTTTATACCCCCAAGACTTTCCTTTTTCAACGTTAACATTTATACAGGTGAAACAAAAGCAGTGAAGGATAAAACTACTGGCTTCTGAGCACACGTCTGGGGAGGGGTGCCCATAACACTAGTCACCATGGTATCTTTTTCCACTAAGTGTAACAGTAAAAGGAAACACTGCCATGTTCGCTGTGAATGGCTGTGATGCTGCGGTCAAAATGAGTAACTTCATGAAGTCTCAGCCCTTTGAGTGCGGGTGTTTTTCAGATCCTGAGGGACAAAGAAGGAAGTGGGGGAAGGCACTTACGCTTATCACTGTATGATGGGAAGGCCCTGTGGGATTGAGCTCGAGGATGAACCAGCCCCTCATGCCATGAAATACAGTTTTTATCTGAAAAATAAAATGACTGACAGACAGACTTTAATTACTCAGAGCTGGACGCTTGGCAGAGTCCTTCTCGGGAAGGGATTAAATGAGACTGTCACTCGGAGCAAGATCACTGACAGGGTTTGTTGCAATGGTTAAAAAAAAAAATGAAGCTTTCGACCATGAACATGGAAGCTTCTCACACTTGAAAACTGATGAGGTCCATGGTATATTAACCAATATGGCTTGTGGATAATTTATCATGGAATATGACAATATTTAGAATCACTGCCCAATGTGTTTCCAGCGAGTTTTCAAATTAACATTGAACAACATTACAAAATTTTGCATGGATAGAGACCCACTTTAAGAGCAAGACAGGGATAGATTATAAAATTGTGAGCTAGGTGGAATGTTGGATTTATAGCCATTCATTTTAATTTTTCAAAAAAATTGATTTTGGAGGCCTTATTATTTCAGACACAAATGCATTGCTTTGTGCCAGGAAGACAGCCTGAATGGTGGGCACAGACAGCAGATTGCCAGAAGAACCCTGCTTTGCATTTCATAATAAAAGTTGGTTGTCAGCAATTTATTTGGGGGGAAAAAACAACCCTCATTGACATGCTTTTGAAATGCCACAATACAACCAGCTCTTAGCAAACTACCACTTGCCGAGTATGGGTAGATTATCAAAGAATATTCAGTTTTCTGGAAGGACTTAGAAAGTCTAATCCTTTTTTTTTTTTTTAAAGTTTTCAGTTATATCTGGTTGTTTGTGCATGTGTGTATGTGTATGTGTAAAAAGTCCTGGTAACAAGATTAAAATATGAACTTTCTGCTCTGTGTAATACAACTTTTATAGCTCAAAAATTCAATTTTTATTATGCAGTATGTAATTAAAATATGAATAAAGCAGTTCGTTACAAAAAATGCAAAGCAGTACTTGACCTGTGAAAGTCCTCAAGGGTTTTGCATTATCTCCGAAGAGCTTAGCTTTCCTGAAATCTAGAGATTTGCAAACTTTTTTTCCTTTTTAAGAGCCATGTAGTAAATATTTCAGACTTTGTGGGCCACGGAGTCTCTGTCTCAAAGTCAGCTGTGCAAGGCTAACCCTTACACAAATAAATGTGTCTGTTGTATAGCTCTAATCACTAAAGCAGAGGCAGACCACATTTACCCTACTGATCATAGCTTGTCATTTCCTCCAAACATCCCCCAAAACAACACTTTGTTTTTTTGATGGCATGGCCAAGTACCTTTATGTACTTATTGTGCTCAGAACTTGTCAATAACAGTAGGTACCTTTTAAAATCATTGTTTCAGTGGGTCATGCCCAGTGACTTTTACTCTTTAAGGAGTGTGGTAAAGACTCTGAGAAAGGAATAGCAGAACCCTCTTTTATAAAGCAGGCTGTCACAAGGCTTTGTGTGGACTGTGGTCACAGTAAATACAGCATGGATGTGTCCTAGTGACTCCTAGCCATGTCAGAAACCCATGAGTTTGCCCTTCATTCACACTGCCAGTCACTGTACTTGCTGCAAATTAAACTTGGAAGGTACATAGGAGTTGTTTGTTTGTTTGTTTGTTTGTTTGTTTGTTTTTAATGTGCGTGTCTGTGTGTCTGTGCATGTGAGTGCAGTACTCACAGAGGACAGAAGGGGATGCTGGATCCCCCAGAGCTGGAGTTAACAGGCAATTGTGAGCTACCATGTGGGTGCCAAGAATTGATCTCAAATCCTCTGCAAGAGCAGCTGGTGCTGTTAACAACTGAGCTATCTCTGCAGCCCCCAAGCACAGGATTCTTAAAGCTAAAGGTGACCATAGAAATCCCCTTACTGTTTGCACAAAAGCCCTGGCCACTGGTGACATTGGTAGTTTCTCTGAATTCAGGGACTCCCTGGCATCCCCAGTGGGAGATGAGGCTTCATGGAAACCGAGACTGTTTCCTTTTAAACCTAAACCTTCACTAAAAGGTGATAAAGCAGATTCAAGGGCTGTAGGTTTCGTCTGTGAGAGAAGAGAGCAAGATTAGATGCAGTTCTTACCATGGGTGACCTAGTGACCTCAGCTCTACAGACTAGGAAGCCCCAAATGAGCTGCCTCCAGGCTCCCAACACCTTTAACTGCTCCTTTAATCCAACTTCTGTATGTTTTGAAACTTTTAAGGGGAATAATTACACAAAGTATGACATATATACACAGTATAAAAAAAAATAACATGCATCTAAATGCAACTTGGGCAAAACGGGGGCACCTGTAATCAGTTGGCTTTATGTATGTATAGGTATAGACATACAGTAACTTATCAAGAAGCAAGAGGACATATCCCAGGAAATGTATCAATGTTAGGTGACTTGGCCAGGAGTGACCATCATAGAGTGCACTTAGGAAAAGAAGGATTCACAGTTACTAGGCAGCACAACTTAGGGTCACATTTATAAATATCTGTGACCTGGTGTTGACTGGTGTGCCTTGGTGCTGTCACTCTTGAGATTCCAAGTTATTCTCCCTAGCAAATTATCTAAAATGAGCTAAATCAGCAGCAAATTATCTAAAACTCTGCATATGTGTATATGAACTTTATTAGTGGTTTCTAAGTTTCAGATATTGCAAGATTTGTTTTAATGCTTTTTTTCCTAGATTATGTGATTTCACAGAGAAAAAAAATGTCACTTATGTGCCCTTAGATTCTCATGATGCAGTTTTGAGATTTAATTCTGCCCCTACACGTGGCTTTGAGAAAGATGTCGGAAATAAAACCACAGTACGCATCATTAACTCCCAGGTAAGATGGATGGAGTGTTTTCACCGGTACATTTTGTAGGCAAATCATTTAACTAGATGAGTGAACAGAAATATGGTTAGCTATAACCTCAGTATCTTGTTATTTCTTTGGGTCTTTTAAGCATGAAGAATTGGTGAAGAAAAATACAAAGGGAATTTAGATGCAATTTCAATAGGAAGAAATGAGTGAGATCAAAAGAAAACTCAGATTAAGCATAGAGAAATGATTTTTATTTGTGTATATCTCTTTTTGTTATCATAGATCAGTGATTCTCAATCTTCCTAAAGCAGTGACCTTTTAATACAATTCCTCATGCTGTGGTGACCCTCAACCACAAAATTATTTTCATTGCTACTTCATAACTGTAAGTTTGCTACTGTTATGAATGGCAAATTTGGAGTAAGAATTGTAGCAAAGGGTTTGTGACCCACACATTGAGAACCACTGTCATAGACTACGATTCAGTTTGTGAACTGCAAAGGGCTATTAATTACAGAAGAAATCATGGCAATAAAGAAAAAAGAAACACATGAAACAAGAGAGCTTTCAGCATATCTTTGAAACTTCAGGTTTTGACTTGGAAATTTGAAAAATGAAAAGAAGTTGCTTAATGGGAAATGGAAATACCTCTTTTCTTCATGTCCTTAATAAAAATGTCTTTCAAATTTATGGAAAAAAATTATTCTCAGAACAAGGCACAATTTCTAATTTCCAAAATATGTAGAAAAAAATGAGATGATATGTGATTTATGGCGAACTGCTTGCATGGCAAGCTATTAACGCCCTGCATCGTTCACTGCACCAGGCAGCCTGCAGCAATGTAAAAACAATTACCATATTTTCTTAATTCATAGATGTCACTGGCAGTAAGAGCTACATTTTATTTAGTAATTTCTCAGAAAGTGATAAACCCCCACCAAATTAAAATACATGCATCCTGTAAGATGCATCCTCATTGCAAAAGCATTAAAATGTGATGAAAAAAGTGCATCTTCATAATGGTGAAATTTTTTAATTGAGAATCTTAAACGTGCATGAAATGTGTTTAGACCAAGTCCACCCTCCCGTCCCCTCCCCTCCAATTCTTTCCTTATTACCCCCACCACTATTCCCTCCCAATTTCATGCATTATCTTCTGTTTTGTTTTATAAACCACAAATTCCACTTAGTGCAGCCTGGATGCGCGTGGACACAGGGCCATCTTCTGGAGCCTTAGTAGCCTTTCAGAAGCTACATCCCTGAAAATAGCTGACTGTCTCTTCTCAGAAACCATCAATTGCTAAGAGCTCCTCATGTCTACCACCCTTCCCTATGCTGGAATTTTGTCTGGCTTAATTTTGTGCATGCTGTCACAACTACTGTCTGTTGAAATGAGCAACTGTGCTGTTGTATCCGAAAAACTCTGTTTCCGTGTAGACATCCACCATGTCTGGCTCTTACACTCTTTCCACCCACTCTTTCTCAATGATCCCGGAACCTAGGAAGAAGATGTATCCTTTAGTGCTGGGCTTTCTGAAGTCTTGTATTCTCTGCATATTGACCAGTCATAGTTCTCTGCCTTAATCGCCATCTACTGCAAAAAGAAGCCTCTCTGATCAGGAGTGAAAGATACATGAGTCTATGGGTATAACCCCAAGTCGTTAGGAGTCAGAATGATGCTATTTAGCAGAATAGTAGTAGATTCCCCCCCAGGGCCTACCTATTATAATTTAATGACCCCACTAATTATACCAGACATGGGTTCCATTTTATAGAGTAGGCCTGAAATCCAGAGAGAAAATGGGTTGTTATTCCCATAATTTTCATACCACTATTCTACTAGTAGGCACATCATGCTGGGCCAGTCATGACTATGGCTTCCAGGCTTCACATCTGGGTGAGACTGATGATAGTTTCACCTGCAGTAACATAGCACCTCAGAGCGCTATGAAAGCTAGGGATGAAACCTCCAATGATTGCCAGGTTGATTTCTTCAAGTCTTAATGACAAAAGTATGTGGTGTCTTCAGTTAGTAGTGTCTCACTATCAGTTTCTAGAGGGTAACCAAGTGCAGTGACTATAACCTATAATGTTTGAGGGTCTCTGGAGCCACACTGATAAAAAAAAAATCCCAAAGAGGTAACTCATTTGCACTTGGCTTCTTTTTTGATAGCCTGTGGTATCTGGGAGATGCATTGCCTCCCTCCCTTGGAGGGTAGCTCTATTTAAACTCTTTTTATACATACGCGCGCGCGCGTGCGCACGCGCGCACACACACACACACACACACACACACACACACACACACACACACACATATATATATATGGAAGCTTGTGCAGTAGTAGGTTTCCATAAAACTTTTTCAAACGGATCTCATCTAGTTATCCCCTACACACACTTCATTCTATGCCCTGCCTTCCTATCCTCCACCTCACTTAATCCTTCTTGCTCCATTTTCCCCCATCTCCCTTTCATGCCATCTATGTTTTTTCACCCATCTCCCATGATCTGTTACTGGGTTTCTGACTTCTTACACACTCCAGTTTCAAAATCCTATCTGAAGATTCAAAGCTAGCACTCATATGTGAGAGAAAACCTGCAATGTTTGTCTTTCTGGCTCTCAGTACCTCACTCTGAATGATTATTTCCAGCTCTAGCCATTTACTTACAAATTTCATTTTTTTCTTAACATCTGAATAATAAACCATTGTGTATGTATACTGTATTTTCATTACTCATCAGTTGAGAGACATCTAGGCTGTTTCCTTTTCCTGTCCTGTGAATACAGTTGCAATGAACAGGGTTGACCATGTATCTCTGTAGTAGGATAGAGTACTAGGATATATGCCCAGGTACATTAGATGAATTAAAGACTAGATCTATATCTAGCCTATTGTGGAAGCTCCATACTGATTTTCATACTGGCTGTATCCATTTGCAATCCCATCAGCAATTGATAAGATTTCCCATCTGCCCACAGTCATACTTACCTTTGTTGTCTTTTTAAAATGCTGTTTGAGCTGTTCTGACTGGGGTAAGATGAAAGCTCAAAATAATTTTAACTTGCATTTCTCTTATCACTAAGGATGTTGAACATTTTTTAAAAATGTTCTCAGCCATTTGTATTTCTTCTTTTGAGAAATCTGTTTAGTTCCATGCCCTAATTTTTAATTGGATTGTTTGTTTTCATGGTATTAAGTGTTTGTTTATTTAGTTATTTAGTTATTTAGTTCTTTGTATGTTCTAGACACCAACCTTCTGTCAGATGTATAGCTGGTAAAGGTTTTTTTCCCATTCTTTAGGCCAATGCTTTACTCAAGTGATGGTGTCATTTGCTGTACAGAAGCTTTTCAGTTTTATGAGCTCCCATTTGTCAGTGGTTGGTCTTAATGCCTGTGCTTGATAGCTTTTTAAAAAGATGGATGGCAGGTGAAATTGATGGATCCATCCAGAATCAGATAGGACCTGGGAGGAGAGACAGCAGCTGACACCTCCTAACTCAATTCTAGCTGTTCCTTACCTACACCTGTCTCCTGTCACGTATCAAAGGTAATGAGGAGGCTGGGAGTCTGAATTAGTTAGAGAGTTTCATCTTGCAAGGAATGGCATCCAGAGCACTGGTTTTGGTGCAGCCCTGATAAAAATGGAGGGGTTTGTGGGTTCGTTTTTGTTTTATTTATAAAAAAAAAAGTCTTTAAATATACTTCAAGTGCTTTGTCATGTGATACCAGCCTCACTCCCTCCCCCAAAGGAAAGTATAAAAGCTGAGCTCATTCCACTCTTCAGTTGTGACTTGTTTTAAAAACATAATTTTGAAAAAGAAAACACTAGTCATAAAGAGCATTTTCCCCCTTGTGTGCTTACAGATTCTAGCCAACCCCAGTCATCACTTCATTGACAGCTCTTTATATAAAGATGTTATCCTGGTGGCCTGGGACCCAGCTCCTTATTCTGCTAACCTTAACCTGGTAAGTGTTTTCTTGATGCCCTGGACCATGGGTTAGACAGTGCCTCTGATTAATTATGCACAAGAGCAGGTCAGTGATGGACACTAACTCATAAGTGTATCATATACCTTTCGATACCATTTAGAATAACATAGCTGCCTTCTGCTATGGTGCTTTTTCTCTGAGGAATAGAGAAAGCACAGCATATATAAAGGCTGAGAAAGTTGTAGTTACACCGGAAATTAGACTAATCAAACTGGCAGTTATTCCAACGAGATAGGATGGTAATAAGGGCTTTGGAAATAAACTTGATGTGTGGTTGGCAAAAACAAATCAAAATTGTTCATCGCTGTTTAAATAAAGACTGTCTCTGACTTTCTTAAGGATGATTCTCACTGGCTCTTTCTGAATGGGTTAAATTTTATGGAATAACCACCAAATACAAGCAAGTTGTATCATTTTAAACTCAGGGCAAACTGTTGCCTTCCCCAGGAAGAAACTAGCCCTGTTGCATGGAACTTTGTATGAGAAGCCAGTGAGCTCATTTCTTTTTACAGGGCTTAGTAAAAGGCATGATAGTCCTGCTAGTTGGAGGTGCTGTTGGCTGAAGGAGTAAGTGTCCATGACTCGGTTTACCAAACCCAGGGAGCGTACAGCCTTTTACAGCCTTCTTAAGATGAATGTGGGTGGACATTTGGAAAATCTGCTTTCGAAACACACAGCTTGAGTACCAGGAGCCCAGCATACTACAGTGTGAGCCAAACCTTGCCACAGTTCTCTCCACAAAGCTGGAGCAGAACCCAGTATGCCTGTCAGCCTCCACTGCTGTGACTGTTTCCATGCCGCCCAGGGAGACCTCTGGTCCAGAGCCTCACAGGTCTTTACTCTCTGACCTTTTGCAGAAAATGCCTGCCGCCACTTATCTAGCCCCAGATCTTACTTTATCATGAATAAATCATCATTGGGAGAGACTGGAGCGAGGAAAGGGAAGGGGAAAATTATGTCATTGTAATATCAAAAATAAAAGAAATAATTAAAAGATAAAGCACTATTCCTGCCAGGACCAGAGCTATGGTCTCTCTTTGTACTTCCCTCCGTGACTGGACACTTCCCCTCTCTCCAGTTCTAGACTGGCCCACTGTCCTCTAAGTCCCCCGGAACATGCACAGCACTGTCTCCTTTTCACAGCTTGACCTGTAATCAATTTGAATTCTTTTTGTTTTGTTTCAGTGGTATAAGAAGCCGGATTACAACCTTTTCACTCCATATATCCAGCATCGCCGGAGACACCCAACTCAGCCATTTTACATCCTTCACCCCAAATTCATATGGCAGCTTTGGGACATTATCCAGGAGAACACAAGGGAGAAAATCCAGCCCAACCCACCATCTTCTGGGTTCATTGGTAGGTGTGTCTGAAAGTTGGGAATTATTTGTATGTGGCTTGTATTGTGTTTTTCAGCCATGTTTTGATACTCAAAATATATGGTTTTACTCCATTCTCCATTTCTTCATCTGTGTTGGCACTTTTCACCCCATTTATTTTCTATTACCTATATAGGGCATTTGAAGGCATGTCTTGAATGCCCTGGGGATATGAGAGGCTGTAACTGAACCAAAGGTATTGGGTTTGTTATCACCCTAAGTTCAGGACATTTTCAGTATTCCTTGGGCTGCACAGAGTGTCTCCATCAGTAGAGGGAAGATTTTTAGAAACAACAGTGGCTTCATTTAAATTAAGGACACAGTATCCTCGCGTGAGGCTTGAAGCTTTTGGAGTGGGTTATATCATCACAGTGATATGAAATATTTTATATTAAAACCTTAGTGTGACTACTTTTAAAGTCATGCCTCTGACAATTTCATTTGAAATCCCCAATTCTTTATCTTTTGTAGTTTTCTAAAGTCTTGTTGATTTAGGAAAGGAAATTTAATCCAGTTTTCAGCAAAGAGTAAATGTGTTACAATAGTGATTAGGTAGCATAAGAGGCCAAGTTTAATAAAGTCTGTTTTCATAGCATCACCATATTTGATCAAGGCAAGAATTAAAAAAAAAAAAGTTGGGGGTGGAATCAAACATAACTCTTAGAGACTTGAAATTTGAAAGGTCCAGCCAAATGGTTATAGCCATGAAAAGTAATTCCCAGTTTGAAGAGGGAGCTCAGGCCACATGGGCAGCTCTCCTCGGGGCTGTTCCTTGTAGATGTGGAGTTCTCAAAGGCCCGGCGATGTCTCTGTAGCTTTCTGTGCAGGAAGTGAACTAGAGTTCATTGCCGTTGCAACCAAGGGGGCTGGGGATACCTAGGTTTGTGTTTGCATTCTTCTCTGCAGCTTGCAGGCATTGGACCTCAAGTTGCTTGTTCCCTTGGTCCTCAGCATCCTCCAATGAGACGCAGTCATAAAGTCTTCCGGAGGGCAAAGTTGGGTAGATGGCTGGCCAGCTGCAACTGTTGTTTCCTAGCTGTGCCTTTGTTCAGTGTAGCATCTGTTAGCCACAGGACTATTTAAATTTCAATTAATCCTAATTAAATAGCAAATAACATCTGCTTCTGAGGCCGACCAGCCCAATTTCAAGTGCTCAGTTGTGGTATCCTCCTGGTGGCTACCATATTAGACAGCACTAATAGGGAGTCTTCCCACTGTCACAGGGCCATGTCGGAGAGCACGGCTGAGTTTGGCCAATGAAAAGAAACTGTGATGCAGCAAATTGATAAGAAAACATTGGGTTCCCACCAGGCACTCCGTGCTGTGTGGTGGAAGATCCAGCTGCAATAGAGGGCATCTGCTTCAGTAGGCTTACTTTCTGCCTCTACGCCTCACCTCTTCCTGAAGGGTGTGAGATTCACACCACGATGGGTGGTGGCAGCAACCTGGGTAACCTTTCCCAGTGCCCTCTGGGCATCCCCATACTGTTGTAGTCTTTGTACTTCTTCTTACATCTGGATAGGATGCGGTTGATCTGTTCAGTTATCAGATGCTCTCAAATAGATGTGGAATGATGTCAGCCACCTCTCAGACTCTCTCCCAAGAGAACTACGAAATCGGTGAGGTGGACTGTTTTGTTGCTGTGATCAAAAGTACGCTTCAAGTGCCTTTTTCCTGCTCTAAAGTCCTGCTGAAGTGTTGACTTGGTTACTCGGTGTCTCTTATCTCTAGGTGCTTCAAGCCCTAACATCAGCTCCAAAACAAAACCTGCTTCAGAGGGGCAATGAGGGTTAGAATGTTTCAGTATACACTCATCACTGTACCTGGGAGCTCGTCAGCTAGGAGGTCCTCATCCAGAGATAGCCCAAAGCAGGGTCTTCCTCACCTTGCACTATATTCCTGTCTGGTGCTCTGCCCGGTGAAGCCGAGAGAATCACTTCCTTCACTAACTGCTATCCATCTATAAGGAGTAGTTTCATGGGTGCTTGCTCATGCAACAGACACGTTCTGTGTTACACATGCGGAGGAGTTTGCACAAATGAAGTAGAGAGACCTCATACATCTGGGCTCCACACCCACAAATTCAAATAGCCACTAACTGAAAATAGTTTTTAGTTACATTTTTTCTGAATATGTGCAGACCTTTTCTCTTGCCTTTGTTCCCCAAACACTATCAACTATTTATATAACATGTATGTTGTTTTAGGTATTGTAAGTCATCTAGGGGTACGTAAAGCACACAGGAAAATGTGCAAAGGTATATGGAATGCTGTAATGTCTTATAAGTGGCTTGAACACGCTTGGATTTGGGCATGTGCATGGGGCCCTGGGTCCAGTTCCCCAGATGTTGAAGGAATGACAATATTTGATGAGTGAATAAGTTTTTGCTCACAGGCTCTCAAAGCTTAGCATGCCTCACATCTCCCATGAGTTTCCTATATTGGTAATCCATGTCTGCAGAGCAAAATTCAGCAACTGAAAAGAATGATTAGTGTGTATAACCTTCCAGACCAATGCAAGTCAGTCATCCGGGCACAGATGGGCTGGGTTATGCTGGCCCACAGTCTCTGCAGAGGTTGTAATTGCCCATTTCTAGCAGGCTATCAGACTAGCTATATTCTTTCTGTTACACAAGTCAGTACTCTTGCTGTGAGAGAGGGGTCAGAGGCATGACTGGCAGGCAGGAACATTGAGAGCCAGCTTGGAGGCTAGCTGCAGCAGCCTTTTAAACCAAAGATTTCTGAGTAAGGGGAGGAGGTTGGAATTTCCATTTCTTGTAGTCTCAGATCCCCACTCTCAGTCTCATAGAAAGAATCAAAGTTGCAGAGAACTGTAAAAGCCTAGTTTGTAGGTTCTGTACGGATAGATATATCAATAAGGTGATGATGGACTTGGATGCCGTGAGGGGACCCAGAATTCCAACCCACTCTCCTGCTTATCACTTAATTATGGCCGTGATTAAACACAAGTAGAATAATTGCTTTTTATTTATATTTACTCTAAATAATACAGGGTTCTTTAAAATATGATATGCATCTTCATTTTTTGAAATGGTGTAGCATTAAATCTTACATTCTGGCCCTACTGGCTGTTAACTGCATTTGTATTCTTGTGTTCCTTTCTTGAACTCACAAATGGACAAAGCAAAGTCAAACATAAACAACTGTATATTTGACTGTTTGTGTTGGTCCATATTCCTTGTACATAATGTTTCCTTGTGTTTTGATCACACTCCTCCCGCTTGTACTCCCCAATTCATGTCCCCATTCTTGTCCATGGTTTGTCTCCTTCCTTCCCCTAGTCTTTCTTTGGCTTTCATACACACTGTTCTGTGTGCCTATAAAATATAAATGATCCACAAATGACAGGAAATGTGTATAACCAGGATCCTCCAGAAAAACAGAGATCCAATGGGATGTATGTCCATCACAAAAGGGAGTCTGTTAAGTTGGTCTACACAGCAGGGGGCAGGTAGTTCAATGACAGCAGAGTGTTAGAGGGAAGAGATGCCCAGAAGATCTGCTCCTGTGCAGGCTGCCTGGTGCATCCAGAGCCATGTCAACACTGGGGCCGGATCCCAGTGAGGGATTTAAGCCATTTCCTCCATGCTTTAGAATGCACGTTCTCATAATCAGCTTCTCCAGTAGGATCAGTTTGGAACAAAAATGCTTCATTTACAACTGAGCACATTATAGAATTGTTGGAACCAATGGGGCCTCTTTAGTTACTTAAGAAAATACTCTACAGCCTCTCCACACCTGAGTGTTGGGCAATTATCTCTTTTTTCAGGGGGTTGCAGTTCATGTAAGTAGAGTTTATCAAAGCTAAGGAATTATTATTGTCCTTTTAAAATAATGATAATGGGGCTAGAGAGATGGGTCAGCAGTTAAGGGTACCTGTTACTCTCGCAGAGGACCTGGACTCCATTCTCAGCACCCTCATGACAGACAGCACACAACTATCTGTAACCTCAGTTCCAGGAGATCTAATGACCTCTTCTGGAATCCACAGGCTCCTACATGCATGTAAACTCAGACAAACACATGTACATTGAAATAAAAAGAATAAATCTCTAAATAGTAATAACAAATGAACTAGAAGACATGTGCAAATAATTATAATGATTAATGTAAATACATATTCATATTAAATGAATTAAACTATACTTTCACTGTATTCATTAATATTAATAAGATACTTATTAAACTTTTTGTATTTATAATGTTGTTAGTCCTCTGAAATTCTGGATGAGTACTTTAAAATCATGTTTTCTGCATTTTAAACATCAAATCCATGTTACAAATTAACAACCTGCCTGTCAAAATATTTGAAGAATCATTATTTAAAATGTGAATATTTATTGCATTTAAACATTGAAAATTAACTCAAATTACATATTAATAACTGAAAATCATCTTTCAAAACATTTCTAAATAATTTGGGATATATTTGACTTGGAGGCATGGTCATTACTTAAAAATAAGTGAAAAACCTGACTTCTGAAGGGGTGTGTGTGTGTGTGTGCGCGCGCGCGTTCGCACAGACACACACACGCATATTCTATAACACACATGTGGAAGTCAAAGGACAATTTGCATAAGTTGGTTTTGTCCTTCCAGCATATGGGTCCTGCGACACAAATTTATCAGGTTTGATGCCAGGTACCTTTATCCACTAAATAGTCTCACTGAACCCAAAATAAAATTTTTTCAAAAATCCATTTCATGAGTATGTAAGTCAAAAGAAACTTGGAGCTATTATTTGTTCTCAGATAGATGTAAGCCTAACATTTTCACCAAATCTTAAAGAAAATAGTGCTTCCTGGTTTCATTAGCTTTGCTTGGCAACAGGTTCGGGTGAAGGTCTTGACGTGTGGTCCAGGCTGACCTCAAACATGGAAATTCTCCTGTGTCAGCCTCCTGAGTGTTGAAATTGCAGGTGTAATTGGCAGCTTTATTTTTTTTAAGAATCTCCTGTAAC